ATTCACCGCGGTTTGAATTGCACCTAAACTCTCACACAAAAATGTATACAAGTTTGCTCATGCTAAATCCAGATGAGGCAGAATGAGCAGAATGAGAATAGCGGAAACCTGATACATGGAATTAATATTCGACCACTATCGGTATCAATAATATTCAGGTAACTATATTATCTCATACTGATGCTCCTTTTGATTTGTGAATGGCTGTTCAGTGATTATATTTTATACAGGATGGGACGATTTTTTTTCGTTTATTAAAGGCATTTTTGACAGAGGTGACAAACTTGACATTTTGCTTCCACAGTTTGATTCCTTCATATTTTTTCTACAAAAATAGAATACTTTAGATATTTTTTACCGTTCTAGAGAAAATTGCAATTCGAAGACAAACATCCCTACATACTATTTCAAAGGTATTTTTATTATTATTATTATTCAAAGGTAATAAAAACTCTATTTATTTCAATAACATCATGGTAGTTGCTGTCATTGTTATAATTGACATCAAATAAGTGGAGCCCCATTGAGCCAGATAGAACAGGCAGCCAAGGTCATTCAGAATGAAGAAAAGAAGAAGACATCAAATCATCCTGACAATATTAAATACTTTGTTAACACCATGGATGAGTTTAGTAATGATGAGTTTGCATATATGTATGAAGTTTCAATGCCAATAACTCACTAAGGAAGTGCGACACAATATTTTTTATATGAATGCATTATTTTGGCTCACTCTATCAGCAACATGGCCTTTCCGGACACCCTATGTACGGGCTGACTGACAAACAACACCCAAGCCATAGCTATTCTATTAATTATCGGACATAATGAACAGAGAAGCGAAGAGAATGATTCTTCAAGCATCTCAATGCCAACTCTAACGTTAGTGACTATTTTTTTTTCAAATAATGACAAATTTTTCTCTATCAAAAACATTTTAACCCTGCAGTGGACGCATCAGGTTTATCAGGCCCAAGCAATCATAATTGTTTGTGGCATTTTTACATAAAAGCGCTATGGTGCTACTAACCTCAGAACCTTCTAGCTAGAGTTCCTAAATGTACTTGACACTGCTGTTTTGACGTTTTTTGTATATTAGAATACGGATACTAGACAAGCAGTGACAATCAAACATAACCACAAACGATTTTGAAGCAATTCATATGTTTTGCCAGTCATGGAAAAGAATATGTTTTTCGCTTAGATAAAGGATCCTCGCATCTTCCTTCCTCCACAAGTCCTTGTCTTTGATTTTTGTATGAAAAAGGCTACGATAAATTGATTAGAAAATTATTTCTTCTCGAAATATTGAATGATAAGGCTGAAGGATGGAGGTCGATATCAAGTTGGTGTGTACATATTATATACCAACGAAATACATATACTATTCCTATGAAATAAGTCTCTTATATGTAGGTATACATATATATACGTTCAGTTGAATATTTTTCATCACAAAAGTTTAGAATGGGGTAAAAACTGATGAATTTCAACCAATGAAACATACTTTTATTTCGTATGGAACAATTTCACTTGTAGAGTGGTAGGTAATAACTAATTGAAAAATGAACAAATGATATGGCAACAATAACAGCTGATTTCAGTTTGGATAAATAATAAAGGTTCTCCAAGACATACGGAAGTAGGTATAAATGGACTTCAGCGCTCGACTCGCTATAGATCGCCGTTCACATTGCTAAAGGGGATTGTTGGTTTGAACCCGGCCATAGGAAGATACCTAACATAAATGGTGCACTCGCTAAGCGTTCTTGTTCGGTGCTCTGATAATATCTTGCTCGTATCTTGGTACCCAAGAAGTGGTTCAAAATCCACTAGGAGCTATATAGTCATCTAGCACTTCTCAACTACGCATGAACATGCACATTCAGACTTGGGATTTCAACTTTGAAGAAGCGATACACGAACAATACATTCAACTCTTTGATATAGATACATCAATATCTAGTACATCAGAGTTCCACAAAGTCACTATATGTTTACACAAAATTATTATAAGAGTTCGTATACGAAGATGATCTAAAGAATTCTTGATTGAACAGGGATGTGGAATCTGTTTGAGTCGGTCAATTCAGGAAGTTGTTGCTGTTTCATCATCATATGCTCAACCATGATCTCCATGGTGGCTATTGTGATCTCTGCTCCATCGTTCCATCACAAGCAATAACCAGAGTCTAAATTGGAATAAGGTTCTTTTGGATACTCGCTCGGTTTATAAATTGTGGGTTCGGCACTTTCTTTCAATACGATCCTATTATTCAACATCAAATCTTCCGTTCTGAAGTGTACCTGATAAAAATGCGTTGAAAAATGTTCTATATCCTACCAAGAAATTTGAATACCTCGCAAATTTTGTGGCCTGAACCTATATTCCATGCCGGCCACATCATATTCTGTTTCCATTTTTGTAGAATTACGTTATCCGATGGAAATTCGAATAGAGTGAATTGATTTCCCGTGTTCTCACAGTTGGAAACTGCACAAACTTGCATCTTACTCCTAATTCTCTCAATTTGTCTAACCTTTGAAATTTATGTCATGTACGTCCGTGTACTGCCAGTTCCCGCTTTTTCCATCAATTTATTTTTGGCTATGTCTGACTGTCAGTGCTTGTCATAGTGTCTGTACTCTAATATACAAAAAAACGTCAAAACCGCAATGTCAAGTACATTTAGGAACTCTACATCTAGCTAGTCCATGATGCATATACTACAGTAGTTTCAACGGAGTGTAGTAGAGAACAATGATTATAGAGCAGATTTCCTTCTTTCAGACCCAACCCGTTCCTCCCTTCATCCCTATTTTTGTAATCAACAACTTGGTACTAAACTTTTGATAGATTACATGAAGAGCAGAGTGAACTCCCAAAATCTGCCATAAGATATTCCACAGCTTGCAGCTAGAATTGGTGGTACTATGTTGGTTGATCATGTCAAAATTTAACAAAATGAACTTGTAAGATATTCCTTCTGTAAAGATGGGAAAACAAGATAGACATGCCGGTTTTGTGAGAAATATATATGCCTAGAACATTCTGTATCTGTTTATCAAGAATGTACAGCAAAATTCTCGGAATAACGTGTCAAAATTTAACAAAATGAGCTTGTAAGATGTTCCTTCTGTGATGATGCGAAAACAAGATAGACATGCCGGTTTTGTTAAGAATAAATATGCCTAGGACATTGTGTATCTGTAAATTAAGAATGTACGGCAAAATTCTCGGAATAATTGTTATACATGGTGTTTATTGCAATGATACCAAAAATGCATACCATTTTTATTTCAATTCGATTTTTTTCTGTTATAAAAATAGGACATTATTCTGGATTCATTTCATTACTATTTGTCCATATTAATGATTTATGTAAAACATCAACAGAAATTAAATTTTATTTAGAAAATTTAATTTTACTCATCAGACCCAATGAACAAAATGATATAGGAAATTAAATTGAAAAAAAATCAGTGCCCCCTTGAAGCATTTCAAGACTGATTTCATTTGTTTTTTCATTCAACAGAATCAGAATCAATAAATAACAGATCTATGGCTTGTGGAATTTTATGTTATGTCAGCCTTTCATTTCTGATGTTGAATGTGAATTTGTTTCAGCCTTTCGTTCTGGGATAATTTTTGTATTCTTATTTTATTTGTGTAACGTCCGTTTGGGGTTTCACTTATTTTTATGAATAAACCTAGACAGAATTGATTTTTTCATCACATAGAGAATGTATCTTACATAATCGTTGGGTAAGGATCCTGAAATTTGCTGGAGTGAGAGGTATACCAAAAATGCACTCTATGACCAAGTGGGGTCATCTTCAGTGATATACACTGCTCGCCAACAGCCATGGAACCACCCCAATTTCCAGAAAATGATATTAGGAGTAAAAAATAGGTTGAAAATAACTTCGTATTCGGAATCAGGACGCCCAATTCACTAAGGTAAAATATGAATAGTTAGTAAATTGGGCGTCCTGATTCTGAATCTGAAGTGATTTTCGACCTATTTTGACTCCTAATATCATTTTTCGGAAATTGGGATGGTTCCATGGCTGTTGGCGAGCAGTGTATATCACTGAAGATGACCCCACTTTGTCATAGAGTGCATTTTTGGTATTTCTCTGGCTCCAGCAAATTTCAGGATCCTTACATACCGATTACTCAAGATACAGGGGCGTTTCCATTAGAAGTGGGTCACAGTGTATACAGTATGATGGAATTGTATGGAATAAATTCATTATCTCTTATGCATAGGAATTTGAAAAAAAATTCCGGGACAGGTCCATTTTTATTTTCAAATTGACACCTCCTGATATACATACAGAGTTTGTAACGTCATCTGCATTGTTGTTGGGACGTCATGGAATATTTTTTTAAATGGAAACATCCCCTTTTTATTCTTTTTTTCCAAAGGTTTATTCATTGTCTATCCAACCATATACTGATATTAGCAAAATAAAGTAATACAAGGTGAAAAAAAATTATTAATTATTTTAAATTTACAAGGGAAACCGTTACAATAAATGTTCAATTGGTTACCTTCTGCAATGATACAATATGATAGACGATATACATTGTTTCTGATGTATACAGGTCGAATTGTTCATTAATTGTAATTGTTTTTGGTGTAATTATAAAATAATTAATAATTTTTTCTCACCCTGTATCAATTTATTTTGCTAATATCAGTATATGGTTGGATAGACAATGAATCTACCTTCCGAAAAAATAAATAAAAAGGGGATGCCTCCATTTAAAAAATAATTGATGACGTCACCACAACTATGCAGATGACGTTACAAACTCTGTATTTAAGTCAAGAGGTGTCAATTTGAAAATAAAAATCAACCTGTCACAGGATTTAGAGATAATGAATTTATTACATACATTTCCACCATACTGTATATATCCGTTTTTTTATGTTCATAATTTTATCTGAGAATATTCCTTTTCAATTGTTTGAATTTATTCTTAAACTTACCGCCTAGGGATAACATGAGGCTTCAACCAACTGAGATTTTCTAACAATGGCCAAGTCAGACTTGAAGTACTTCCTATTGAAGTATTGTTTTCTTTTCTCAGTTCTGTACAAAATCGGTTTCTCAATAAGCCCCAACGTTGCTCACACACTTCAGCTGAAGGATACAAATAAAATTTTAGTTAATTTGATCATGTATTCTGTAACATAAGAAACTTACCACTTATCTTTAAGATATCTGCTATTGCAATCCACCCCTTCTCTCTTTCATCATTATTTTTGTACCATTCGTGAGTTTTATCATATAGAAAACTATGTTGATGCACCAAATCAATCAATCTGACATCACTGTGCAGGATCTTCCTTCAAATATTCCATTTTGGATTAATTTTCTTATATTGCTTGAATAGGAATTCTTAACTTTCATAAGGCCAACCAGGATGCATGAACCCAACAGACTTTGCAGAAATTGTACTTATCAATTCTGTTTTTTGCAACTATTCCCTTCTTTCACAGTTTTGCTAGAAGTTAGTATTATTAAAATTTCTCCAGGTTTCAGTTTGAAAAAGATGTCTCACATTAATAAACCAATAAGTGGTAACCTTGTAGAGACAGATAGCTAAATATTGGTATTCAGTTCTACTGGAATCTTAACAATCAGCAGAAGCAACATCTGGGCCACCAACCTACTCATCAAACAGGAAGGTGCTGTCTCTGCAACTTGAAAAAAGAGATAGAAAAATCCATTGAGTTCTTGCAGAATATAACATATATAGCATGATCATGTTTTGTGATTGTGTGAATTCAATTTGAACTGTGGTAATAAACATTTGAGACAGTGCCTCTATAATGGAGATGAAATTGTTAGAAGTTTCATTGTAAACCTTCTGGCTTTACTTGTAATGGTGGATTAATGCAGCAGTTTTAAGTCTCAAGTTTTGAATGATTAGTCTAGTCTATGAGGAGTTCAGTCATTGGTGCATATACAGTATGTATTTGCTAAAACTTGTCACTACTCTTATCTCTTGAAGTCTTTAAGCAAATCGAAAGTCCAATGTGGCTGGGAACACATTTTTCTGTAATTATCATATCCCAAAGTTGAAACCTTGTAGCAGAATGGGCTTCAACCAGGGCCTACTCTATCTCACCGGGCCGGAGCATCGCTTTCGTGACGTCACACTAGTAGGGACAAAATCATCGCAGTATAAATTGTCTCTCCCGTTTCATTAATTTACCTCGGGAAAACGGTCACAGTTAGCGAAAAACATCAAGAGGTCAAATATGTACAGAAAGGAATTTTCCAGAAGATTAATCTAATTTCACTGATTTACGATCATTAATTTCAGAAATATGGCAAATCAAAATTAATTGACGCCATTCAGAATTGTCCTTTTTCAAACAGCTGCCAAAATTTCAATATTCAATTCACAGAAATGATTCACGCATGAAAAGATTTCGCATAGTATCTAGATTGACTGAGTTTTTTTTTTAAATTCCCAAGGGCCAACAACAAACCGATATTTCAATTCAAGTAGGACGATGATTCAGGTGTTCATTACAGAATAGTTCAAAAAGTTCGGACGCCTCCCATGCTAATCCTATCAACTATGGATATATGCTGTCACTGACTTTTTTGTAGGGAATTTGATTGCCTACAAATCGCACTTTGATGACGTTAGAAATCCTATCACTCGACTGTGTTATTACACAAAAACGTCTATTCGGTATCAATTATTTTCTGCTGGAGAGTATATATTTGAATGATAACGTTAAATTCATGAAAAAAATTTGATTTGAATATATTTGCAAACTATCTAAATTAAAAAGAACGAAATATGTGGAGTTCATATGAACACAACCTAACAAAAATAATTGAAAAAATATGTATCTCAACAATGAGAGATATAAAAATGAATATAACGAACTAAATAACAAAATACCCAGAACAACGATAAATGAATGAATAAGGAAAAAATGAAAAAAAAAACGTTGAAACCTTATACACAAACAAAACCAAACAAAATAAACTGTAAAAATGATCAACATAACAAAATAAAAAAAATTGATAGATATCACAAAATGAAATACACTAATAACAAAAAATATATAAACATCATCTAAATCACAAACTAAAAATTGAAATCTGAACTATATCTCATCCTGAAAGTTTAGCCATTGTCGATCTAAATGGAAACCTAGTTAGGTAGTTAGTAGGCGAGAGCATTGTGTTTAGTGATTATTCTTTTTTAATTTTTTTTTATTTTGCAATAATTGTTCAACAGAATATTTGAAATGGTTTTAGAGAATGTTCTGCTGATTCCATCAAAAGACCCACAACTGCAACATTGATTCTCGGAATAATTGAGAAGGGAATTGATTTTAATTTCTGCTAAATTTCTCAAAACTTTATGTTGTGACTTACATTGTAGAAATATTGTTTCGAATTTTTCAGACACCAATATTAGTTGGTCTGAACCATACGCCATTTAGAAATAAAATGAGTAATAAAAAGTATATCGCCCTTTACCAGTCCAAGGAATTACCGCGAAATCGTAATACAGCGAAATTTGGGTAGGTAGGTATAACGGCCCATTTTTTACGCGCTCTTCATATTTAATTTCTTTTGAACTCATTGTAGGTAACTCTACAATTTTTTCACTATTCAATTGATTCATTATCGTAGTTTGATATATTGAGTTAGTTTCATCTTATTCCAATTCCAAATTTGCAAAAAATAGTATTCTGTAGTACAACGTCCTGATTTTCAATAAAATGGAATTTTGTTACAACGCCATAACTCGGTATTGATTCATCCTATTGGATTCATTTTTTCACCAAAAGTTGAAGAATTTGTTGGGGATCATTTCGTCTCAATTGAGTGTGCTTCTAAAATTTATAGTAAATGAGCTATAGCCTATCAATTACGAACGCATCAGTAGGGACTGATGTGAAATCTCAACCTACTAGTGTGACGTCAGAGAGAGGGGATAGACTACGGCCCGGTGAGATAGAGTAGGCCCTGCTTCAACTCTCAATATTGAAATGGAACACCCTGCATTTTATCTCATGATTGTTTAGTGGTTATGATTAAAAATCTAATTATACCAAGTTTAATTGGGGTTTTCGAGATTGGCTATGGAGATATAGCTGAATGATTTTTCAACATGCTCCATGACCATGAGTGGGACACAGAGATCTGATTGAACCAGTAACTCAGTCAGCAAAATTTCTCCATCATACTCATGGCCATGTTGAATAATCAATAAGCTAAAACTCCTTAGCCATTTGGGAAAACCCCATCATCATTGTTGGAATTGTAATCATACTCACTAACTAACTAAATTTGGCCAATATTTATAGCTTGGGAAAACTTAGGACTGATCACTGAATCTCACTGTGCATGAGTATGATTCAGTATGATTGGCTAGAAATTGTGATGTTGGATTTATTTTGATTTTATTTTCTTATTTTCATCAAATCAAAATACAAAGAATACTGAATTATCTAAATTCCAATTGTGTGTTACCTTATAGCATATTCCATTGAATGGAACCCATTCAGAGCAGATGCAGAGTAGTAGTGCTGGTTCAGCCAAATAGAAATAATACTGGTACTGTCCTAGTACATACCAGCCCAACACACACTCACAACAAAAATTGGAATTGAATGTACAATAGTTCAGCCAGTAGAATACACTATTAAATATATTTCAAATTGATACCATTAAACCAAAATCAGCCAAAGAACATATGCATTTTTCATGTGATGACCAAACACCTATGACAACCATTTTTCAATATTTCAATAGGACTCAACTAGGACCAAGACTAGGCCTCCTAGAACTTATGATTTGGAACCTCATTTGAAACTCAACACCTGAGCTGGTACATGAATCCACCATAGTTCATTGATGTTAGCCTCATGTTGGTTCAAGTATAATCATTCAATTAACTGCAACTTACTTTCTAGGATTTCTAGGAATAACATGAGGTTTCAACCAACTGAGATCTTCATACAAAGACCATGGTCTCCAGGTACAACCTGTTGGACTATTTTTCTCTTTTCGCATTTCAGTACAAAATCTATTCCTAAGTATGATCCAGCGTTGCTCACATTCTTCAGCTGCAAAATACAAATTGCTGGTTAGTATACTGCATATTTGATATCATGCTTATTTATAAACAAGTTGCTAGTACATACAAGTCATGTTCAAAATATCGCCTATTTTAGTCCACCCTTTGTCCCTCTCATTCTTGTTCTTGTACCATTTATGGGTTTTATCATAAAGAAAACTATATTTATGCACCAAATCAATTAATGCATCATCGTCATACATTATTTTTAAGAGATGTTTAATGTTTGAATGGATAAATTGTATCTTGTTGTAAATGAATGAACCCAAATATTCGATTTAAAATTTTTTAACAATACAAGATCATAAAATTTGTTAAGATTTGTTTATATTGATATATTGTTCATAACTTCTTGGTTCATAAATAATGTTCTGTTGATTGACTTGATTTGATTGTTGATCTTAGATTGTTGATCAAGCGACAAGCAATGAAATGTAATGTATGTCCAACAAGCGAATCAAGCTTGAATCTTGAATCAAGCGATAAAAACGATGACAATTGACAATGATGACATTTGACATATCACCAGAATGTGGGAGAATTGGCAAGGTGATCGACCGTTGGGGGCGCTGTTTCAAAACAAGATGGCGGCAAAGAGTGTGTAGTTTGTTTACAAAATTTCTTGAGATTTCCATACATTTCCTTCTTGATATTTCATCGTGTTATTTGTGTTTATTGTTGAACTTTTTACTGAAATCATAATATTTTTTGTTGGATCATACTGTTTCATCGTGATGTGAGGAAAATAACTGTTACCTACTGCCCAGTTAACCACACATGTCTCAGCTCTATCACAAGAGAGATCAGTCAAAGAACTTTGTTTCATCACACCGTTCTGAAACATATGCAACTTGCATCTAAAATATAACATGCTACTGCTACAAATCAGTGCTTCATCACACGTTCTATCAATGTGATAAAATTGAGACACCCTAGGCGTCATCACACAAGAGATCAATCGAAGAACTTTGTTTCATCACACGTTCTATCAACGTGATAAAATTGAGGCATCCCAGGCGTCATCACAAAGCAGATCAATTAAAGAACTTTGTTTCATCACACGTTCTATCAACGTGATAAAATTGAGGCATCTCACAGGCGTCATCACAAAGAATATCAATTAAAGAACTTTGTTTCATCACACGTTCTATCAACGTGATAAAATTGAGGCATCCCAGGCGTCATCACAAAGCAGATCAATTAAAGAACTTTGTTTCATCACACGTTTTATCAACGTGATAAAATTGAGGCATCCCAGGCGTCATCACAAAGCAGATCAATTGAAGAACTTTGTTTCATCACACGTTCTATCAACGTGATAAAATTTAGGCATCTCAGGCGTCATCACAAAGGAGATCAATCAAAGAACTTTGTTTCATCACACGTTCTATCAACGTGATAAAATTGAGGCATCCCAGGCGTCTTGATAGATCAATTAAAGAAATTTGTGGCATCACATCCCACAACGTTCTGAAATTGAACTGATGCAAATTGCATCCAAAATATAATTCTTGCTTGTATTGTAGGTTTAATAGTGATCATTTGAGTACGTGAAATTCACTGTGGTTGTGGTTAATGTGGTTTAACAATCACGAAGACGAAGAATGTGCTTTGAAGGTGCTTTGTGTTTACTGGGCTTTCCTAACCTCACTTTTTCGTGGATTTTCAAGAAATTCGGTAACGAAACGAAATTAGCATCACAAAAGGATACCTCGTTGTTTACAAAACAAAACTAATGTATTTGTTATTTCACAAAATGACCAGAACAACATGGATCTGCCATTCACCAAAATCACCAAGATGACTCTTATTGTTTCATTGGGACATTGAAATGGATTTCATTCCAAGTAAGCCACTTGTGTGATTCGAAGCCCTCTGCTGATGTAGTATGATTTCAGTACCTTCCAAAAGGTAAGTAAGTTTTAGATATGATTTGCCTACCCACATGTCTAGGTGGAATTCACTTCAATTGTATACCAATTAAATTTATAATCATTGAATAATCATTCATAAATCATTGACCACATGAAATAGATATCTGCAAATAGATGATAATGTTTTGGTTCTTTATTCTAGCTAGGTTTGAGGCTATTTTTCAGTTTTTTAAGTACTTGTGATTCTTTGTATCCAACAAGGAAATTCAACTCTGCAATTTTAGTGACAATATTTGTAAATATATTCTGTGTTTTGTGTCATATTTTTATTATTAATATAGGTATGCTACTATAGTTTGTAGTTTGAAATTGAATTTTTATTCCAGCTGGACTTCAAGAGAGGAAAATCATCAATTTTGATTTCAAAAGCATACTAGGTACAAAAATATACTGAAGAGACCAGGTTTTGATTCCCGTGTAGGGAACACCAGCTGGTTAGGCCAATCTGAGAGTTTTCACAATAATGACAGGTGAACACTTGTTTTGTGTACTTTAATTTGCACTGAAATATTATTTATTCTAGTTGTAGTCAGCTCAACTAAAGATTTTGATCTCGATTTTGTTGGAAAAATGGTTATTGGAGAGAACAGTAAAAACAAAACAATGATCTCCCATGAAAATGAATGATAACTTTTCTATCCATCACTTCCAAGAGATGGAATCTGCAGGTAAAAAGGAAATAAATGAAGGAGTTATGGAAGAAAACCATGCTGTGATCATCATGATAACTGGGAACGCCCTGTATATTCTATTTCATATTTTTATTTTACATAAATTTCGAGGTTTGTTTAGTAATTTGTCAATGGATTGGAATAAAGTTTACATTTTTACTCCTTCTGTTTCACTGTTATGAATGCCACTCCATGTGTTTAGGGGTATATTCATGGATTTTTTGATTTCAACATTTGAAAATCCAAGAATATATCATAAACATTATGGTGTTGCATTCGAAACTGATTCAAATACCTACTGGTGGAACCAGTATGAATTTATGGATGATATTTGAGATGGAGCTAATGCAGAGCACAGATTTATCAGAAACGTCTCTGGCATGCTCATGGAGAGAGCTATGTAGATACATAGTCATCACTGTGATCTCACAGGAGCATATCTGTTTCAAGTCTGATGTTGCATCACTGATATAAGTCTGTGATTTCATTTGAGGCGGACATTCATCTATGCTATATCTCTGATGGGAACATCTCTGTGATGAAACATGGAACATTTGAAATGCAGCAGGGATAAAGCTGCGGCATGTTTTGGTCAACTGGGTGACTGAATCGTGGACCAAATAGTCTGAGCTTTCTTCAAACCAGTGCATTTCTGTGGGACAGCTTTATGGGATATCAAAAATCACTAGCATATCCACTATCATCAGAAGCTGATATATTCACCATCATACCTCTATTACTCCACCAAAGAATATAGGTTAGTCACCTCTTTGACTCCACTCTTCAAGCAAAAGGATCCTACAGAACACATATGGTGATACCAGGAGTGAAGTTTTTCAACAGTGAACACTTGAACAGCCTTCTGTAAACATATTGAAAAGAATCCCTAAACAATGTGTTAACCTAGTCGACTATTTTGTGCTAAATATTATAGCCATCAGAATCATGTGCAATTGATCCATACAATAGAAATCAGCAGCAACCAGCTCTAATGAGTCTGAACCAAGAAAAAAGTCAACACCAAAGGCATCCTGACATTACTGTGGATTTAATAGTAGATACAACTATCAATGGCCTATCTTCAACAATATTACTTCCAGGCTCTGAGGATTGTTTACAGTGCAACTCCCATACCTCATATATTATGGTGCTCCACTGCAATAACAGCAAATTGTCATGATCCTTTGTGCCATGTGTATGAATTGTATCCATATAATAATGTGAATATTCCTAATATACTTAGAGTTGAGGTAGGTGGCATCCTAGACTGAGTTTTCTTCTTGGAATTCATTTAATATCTTGTACCTAAAGCTAGTTTTTTCACCATATTGATGAAATCATTGAATAATTTGGAATTCCTCCACATAAAACATTGATCAAATGACCTAGGATTTCAGTTAATGTATTTACACAGTTTATTATCATAAATTTTGTGATTTGATATCATTTTGTGATCCTAAATTCATCTAATTGAAAATATCTATCTTATCAATCTGTATAGTTCATTATGTTTTGTATATTTTGGAACTGAATTAATAATAATTTTTGAATATGAAACTACATTGACATAACATGTGTTTTACTGTGTAGTGATATACCTATTCAGAATTGAAGGCTTTATTCAACTGAAAACTATACTGACAAATTATCATCATTGATAGATTGACAACGTCATAATAAACTTGACTAACTAATTATAAACATATACAGAGTACAAATTTCACCACATTCTCCGCCACTTAACACTCGGTTAGGCGCACCCCTAAAAGGAACATGGATAGTCGCTATGGATCTGAGAATCCGAATGTGGAAACAATGATAATTTTGAAAAATATCAAGGCCTATCTTATTCATTTGGTGGATTAAGATCAATAAACTTCATTTTTAATACAGGTGTTTATTGAAAAAAATAGAAACAAACAAAAAATTATAAAAAATTAATTCTAGCATTTTCAAAGTTAGAAGGTAATTAGAACTGAGGAAAAAATTAGTCAGTCGTCCTCCTCGTCAGAATCGACTGCCTGTTCTTTTTCACAGCCACCAGTACACGTAAAGGAACAGTAATACACTGCTGTAGATGTACAATAAAATTCAATAATAATGCAAATCAAATAAATCAAAAATACTTACAAATTTGGTCGCTGTGAATCTCATAGATCCATGAGGTATCTACGGCAGTGAATGACACCACTCGAGAAGTCAAACCAACACGTGTGACGCCTGTTAAGGTAGGAGGATACTGTAACGGATATTCTCCTACTCCAAATGACTAGCGCCATTCGGCTAAATATGAAACCAGTGGATCTCACAGATCCCGCGCGACTAATCGAGTGTTAATTTAGAATGAAATCATTTAAGTGCTTTGGAGGTTGCCTTTTTCTAGTAGGTCTAGTTTCTTTGTTAGCATCCCCTGGATCGACGCATATTCGGTTATTCAGTTCTCTATCTTCCATAGTTTCTGAATGAGTATTCATTAACTCCCTTGGGTTCTCATTATCGTCAGATGTTTCAGATTGTATGGTCAATCCAAAATCCCAAGTAGAAGCACGATCGCAGTTTTCTTGATGAGGAGTAGTGATAGTTTCATGTTGAGGATCCGTGATTAACATATCAGATTCAGGGTTATCATTTTTGAAAAGTAGGGTTATACATCACCTCTGGGGGCCAGGTGCTTGAGAGATATATTCGCTTCTCGACCACTACTGAATTGAACTAGGGCATAATCAGGATTAGCTTCTATGAGATAGGCTTCTTCTGATAACGGGAACGTTTTGGAATTTATTAA